TGCAGAAGATTAGCTGATTTAATGTTCAATTAATTTGCTTTAAAATTCTTTTACTTAATTTTAGTTTCAAATATCACAGAAAAGCATTTTTTTTTACATGGAAGTGGATGTTTGTATTAGGTGTTGACAACTATTTCGGTAGTCTTATATTTGGGAAATTTTTGTACGGTGAAGGGGGCATATCTGTACATATTACTTGACGAATATAACGTGAGTGTCTTTTTATATAATGCTTTATTAACTACCTAATAAAATAAAACATATAGAAAAAAATAAGTACTCTAATGGTTTCCCTGAAATTTATCTACTTTGGCTTTAACCTTACGCTATTAACCGTTCTTATTTTCCGATGATGTCGCCTATGGACATCCGTATTGCAAATATCAGCATGTTTATACACACACACACACACACACACGCACACACACACACACACTATTCAAAATTCTTTTTAGAATACTGGGGTCGCTGAATTATTGAAAGCGTCTCTATATATGATTAGTGAATAAAGTTTTTACTTAATAATATCACCTCACCGGTACAAAATAATTCAGAATTTTAAAAGATTTAAACATTTATAAATTATTCTAATTAAAATTTTCAAAAACATTTTATATTTAATACTAATATAATATATATGCACATTAATTAAATAATATGCAGTTCAAGATATCGTCTCCTCGGGTGAATATTTTATTTAATATAGACTGTGTATTTTGTATTATAATAGCTTCTAGGGCTTGGCTTGGCTTGGCTTGGCTTGGCTTGGCTTGGTTTGGTTTGGTTTGGTTTGTTTTACGGCACATCAACCTCAATGGGTTATTTAATGCTGACATTTTTTTTTTTTTTGCTGGTAATATTCTGTTTTGTCAAAAATCTGTTTCTGGTAATATTTTTCATTCAAAAATATATTCTTGGTAATTTTGTTTTTCAAAAACGTATTGTTGCTAATATTTTTTTTGTAAAAATGTATTGCTGGTAATAGTTAACTATTTGCCCATAGCTTGGACCCTAACAGGTGCTACCACCCCAGATCAGGGCGGACCAGGGAACACAGGCAATTAAGAGGTGGTTCCCCGCTACTCAAAACCTTCAGATCAGAGGCCTTGCTGTTGGACGCATTTTATCGTCTTACACAGGATGCGGATGTAGTTTATCCTCATGCCCAGGACGGAGCTTTTAGGGTTAAAATAAAATTAAATAAATCTCATTATTTTTTGAGGCCTCGTTCCCAGTAACCATTAAACATGGCGCCATACTAGACTACTTTATTCATTTACCTTCCCAAAATATACCAGCATATAGACAAGGGAATTACAACTCCCACACATACACCACATTGATTCTTGATAATGACTGCGATAGCTGACAGTACTTGTGCCATAATAACAAAATATGTACTTCGGACGGTTTGTCCACAACTTCAAGCACAAATCACCGAAAATTAGAAAAATATGATAAAAAAATAAACAGACAAACATTATCGATTTATTTTAATCAATAATTCCGAAACAATAACTTTGCTGACTCCAGCAAAGCCCTCATAAGACGTTGGGACTAGCTTCAGCTATTATTTATTTTTTGCCCACTGGATCATTACAGTTCAGTAAAGAATCATCACTATTTCACGACAAAATGTGAGAAACTCATTGTCAAAGTCATATCAATCAAACCTCGTCAGGGATGTTATCAAGTTCAGAAAGCCTTTCCACGCTTTATTTTCTTCTTTGCAGATGTCAGTTCGGCCATGTTGAGCATTCCCTTCTTGATGACGAGTTCTTGTTCAGTTAAGAATGAAACGCCTGTATTTACTCCATCCTCCTATCTCAGTTTCGCTAGCTGCTCACTCCTGGAGAAGAAGTAAATAAGAACCTGTGAGTGACACCCCCCTATGAAACCCATCGCGCGGCAAAAGAACGGTTGGAAGACATGACAATTACATTGACTAACTTGTAGATTACTCTGGATACTATCTGGAGGAACTGTAGACAGCGATGTCTGACAGAGATGGTTGGAGGGAACGAGTCAGGAGAATCGGAGAAGAATTCTCAACCTGATGATGATAATTATTTTATTATATCAGTTACATAAAACCTAAAATAAAATTGATAAATATTTTAAATTGATAAACGGTTGGACTTTATATGGGAACTGAAAAAAGGTATTACCATCAATATGAGTTCAAATCAAAGAGTTTATCAAGTGATGGAGATTACCTTGAACCAAGCCGAATGCAAGGAGAGTCTTCTTGAAGATAACTCTATTACTATTATTTGATTTGATTTATTTTTATCTGGGGTGTCCGAGATCGTCTGAGCACCATCTGGAAGTCCTTCCTCTGTGACAATCTTAAGAGAGACTTTTTAAGGCTACAGTATAATTTGTCTTGCTCTACGGCTCAACAACATAGACACTGACAAAACACCAAAAGCATCACTTGGCGGAACATACACAAAGATGTTATTATCTGGAGACATCAGCTGGAAGAAACACGAACTTCTGTATGGACACCTTCCACCTGATTTCAGATGAGAAAAGCTTCAACTGGTTACTTAGAAGTAAGTTAGAAATTGTGAGAGACACCCTAAACCGATCGCGCAGCAAAAGAACGGTTGGAAGACTTCAAACATAAAAGATGACTGGATACCATCTAGGGATGTCGACAGCGATGTCCGAGAGAGTTAGGTGGAAGGAACGAGCCAGGAGAATCTGAGAAGAATTCTTGACCTGATGTTTCGACAGCATTAGGCTTTTTTATTCTACTTTCTGATTTATCAAGGCTGTCTTATATATCCACTGGTGATCATTATATCAAGACTTCAGCGGGAATGGTAAAACAGCATAATCATTTGTCAGGATATCTAGCAAACATAGAAAAAATATCTATTCATTATGTATACCACACACAATGAACTGACTAAACAAGAAAATAAAACAGAAATAATAATTTGTATCAACCATTCGCCCTTGGATGGAGTATTGCTGCCATATATAGTCGGTAGCCCTTCTGTTTGTTTCAAGGTCCTTGATAAAATCCAAAGACGGATATGCAATGTAATTGACCCAATTCTGGCATCTTTCCTGCAGTCACTCTCTCACAGACGTTCCGTTGCCTCTCTCTGTCTTTTTTTACAAATACTTTCATGATAACTGCTTCGATGAGTTGCTTTCGCTGGTTCCCAGACTTCATGAGTTTAAAGGTTCAACTAGGCTGGTATCTCGCTCTCACACTTTCAATGTCGAAACTGTAAAATGTAGTCGTCTTTTCTACTGCAATAGCTCCATGTCTCGATCCTCTCGCCTATGAATCCCCCCCATTTCTTGTTTCCCTGATAGCTATAATCTCCAGCTATGTAAAGTCAATTGAAGTCTCCGGATGTCCTGATCTATCCCCTATCCTTCTCTTCATCCTTTCCTCTATCACTCCTCTTTGCTCTCGCTCCAACTCTATGTAACCCCTTGCATGCTAGTGGCTTCCCGCCTTTCTTTGAGTTGGATACTTAAAAAAATAAGTATAATTAACGAGAAATGAAAAGGAACCACATTGGTGAGGGAGGGTATTCAGAAAGTTGTGCAACTCCAAGTCTTTTTGAACAGGAGTAGAGGTTTATCTATTGTTTCTTGTTTAGGACCGGATTTTTGTCTCCTTTTAAACACTGATTTAATTCTACAGGTCTAAGCTCTCCGCTCTAAACTCTGAAATTTATACTATTATTGAGTTTCAAGTTCCCTCTAAAGTTTTTTCCTTCCTTTTCACTCCTAGTAGCCCCCTAGTGTCTTAGTGGCATTATCGCCTTGCTTGGAGTGAACTGATTAAAAAAAAACAAACTCGGCTTCCCCTCTCCATCAGCCGAATGTTTATCTCGTGAGATAATTGAGCTTGTTGTTTAATATATGGATGGCATTGTTATCTACTGCAAGCACGTTGATATTTATATGTTTGTGTGTGTGTTTGTGTTCGCGCGCGCGCCTATGCGTGTGTATGTGTGCATGCGTGTGTGCTGTGTGTTGTAGTTGAATATTTGCCACAGGTGCAACATTTGATGGTGTTCGAGAACAACTAACAAATAGAAAAACCTTTTATAATAATTTCTGTAGTTTGGGACTAGAAAATCTTCCGATCTTTCCGCTCAAATTCATATATTTATTTCTGTGTGTGCAAGTTGTATATGTATATGAATATTCAAGTGTATGCGAGTTTATGTGTGTGTGTGTGTGTGTGTGATGGTATGTATAGGAAAGGTTGTTAGACTGAATATATGATGTCATATATTTGTGTGTGTGAGAGTGTCTGTTAGCATGTGATAGTGAGTATGCGTGTAGCGATGGTGTGTATCCGTGTTCGCGTGCGACTGAGTATGAGTGCGTATTGGCGTGTATACGCAGATGTGTATGCATGTGTATATGCATATATGTGCAGGTTAATGTATATGTGTGTGCGTAAGTGTGTATATATTCATCTTTGACGTACTTACTGACATATTCTGCAGGCGAAATTTAAGTAGACAAGACACAAAATGAGATTAATCATTTATCAGGCTGAAAGGTTGGAATATTTGGAATCCGGAGAAAAAGGAGAAAAGCCCAAAATAATAATAATAATAATAATAGTAATAATAATAATAAAGAATGGCATTCAATAATCTATTGTTGCACCCACGAGAATCTGGGACAAACGGCAATATCCCTAAAGGACAAAATCCTTAGGTCAGGTCCGATAACTCTTACCACTTATGTATGGCCGATCAAGTGACCAGGAACATATCAGGTTGATCTCATGATTGACTTTTTCAACTTAAGTCGCTACTCAATATGGACAAGAAGAAGGATATTGATTTTTGACAGTTTTTTTTTTTGGCTAAAGCTGGATTCTTCGGGAATAAAAAATATCTAGAATAAAAAATTCTGTCAATAGAAGTTTGGAAAATAATATATAAAAATATATATTGGTTATCACAATTAAGAATGGAAGTAAAGCAGGAGAAAAAGAGTTGACAGTATTAATGAACGCTTATAAGAAAAGAATAGGAAAAAGAAGACGGATAGAATATTAAAAGGAAGAGAAACAAAACGAGAAGAAAAAAGGAAAAGAAAAGGTAACTTAACAGAACGATTAGGAAAGAAAAAAAATCAAGAGAACGAGAAGAAAGATAAGTTAGATTAGAAATAAGGAATATATGAGATGCAAAGTAAAATGAAAAATAAGAAGGCATACTAGGGGGGGGTTGAAGAAATGCCTTTTTTTTCTTAAAAATATGACGAAAAGAGAGGAGAAAATAATCAAACAAAATCGGAATGGCCACTAAGAAGATGAAGAGTAATGGTATGGAAAAGTAGCAAAAAACGGGCAAAAAAAGGTAAGAAGAAAAAGAAGAAAGGGAAAAGAAAAAAGAAAGAGATACAAAAGAGCAAAAGGAAAACGAGAAAGAGAAAAAGTAGGACGAGAAAAAAAAAAGGATGAGAGCAAAAAATGAACAAAGAGAAGATAAGAGAGGAGAACAATTTATGAGGAGCGTCAAGAAGAAAATGAAGAAACATACAAGATGCAAGATCAAAGAGAAAAAGTCTGTTTTATAAAACGATAAAAAATACTTGACAGAAAATATGTATGAAGGACTTGAATTCATCGTATATATTTCAATAAGTGCAGATCTTCTTTCTGTTGATCGGGTACGAATTATTCCAAAATACTGCAGCGCAACTCCTCCAAATTACGTAGGAGACAATCTCAAAACCACTCCAGTAATTCACCATTTAGTTCTGCGCATGCCCGGAAACATCTTCAGTTAAACTCTTCCGCCATATTTTTTTTTCAGTCCTACATGTTTTTTTTTTCTTTGTTGTCTTTTACAGGCTCGTTTCCATCTGTTTTCGCTTGCACCTAACTCCTAGAGATCGATCTATCAATAGCATCTTTGCAATAGACAACTAATCCATTGATATTATCTAAAAATATTCCCCTGCATCTGCAAGGCATTATCTATCTATCTATCTATCTATCTATCTATCTATCTATCTATATATATATATATATATATATATATATATATATATATATATATATATTGTAAGGTATGTATTTCGTATAATAGTTTTATGTACCGTGTACGTATTTGTGACGACTTATAGGTGGTTCTTATGTTTCATCGACTAATTTTTTTATCAGTATGAATCATTTTCAGGCAAAACACTCAATATATAGATCACCGCTTGACACTGGATCAATTCTATCGGGCGTACGATGCAGCGTAACGTTTATCAATAAGAATCTGTAAATCATATAGGAATTTTGGGTGAAACAGAGACCCTTGGAAAAGGCATTCTGTATCATTTAGCCTGTAATATGGAAGACACTTCTTTGAAAAGGTATGTTTCGCTGTTCCAGTGAAACTTCGGATTTCGGTGTCACATTTTTCGTCTCTTGTTAAAATATTTTCAAGCTATTGAAATTTTCCTCTTTTCTTGGTTTTGGAATCATCAATTCCTCCTTTGCATCTTGGGTTGTTCCGATCTCCGAAAAGGATACATTCTGTCTTCTTACAATTGTTTTTTCGATTTATATTTTTATTTTCTTTTACTAACTACCTAAGATGTTCCTTTAGTTTCATTTCTGTGACTGGTAATAGTTCTTTGCTTCATTGCTGTTATATAGTCTTGTGTATCAGACACGAGACAATATACTAATGCTGCAACTTTCGCCTCAGTACTGGGTTTGGTTTGGTTTCGTTTATTGTGTCTCAAGGCATATCAAACTTAATGGGTTATTTAATGCCGACAACGTTTTTAGGATAGATTCGCATGAAAAGAATATGTATTCTTTGGTTTAGATTGTTTTGTTTTACGGCATATCAACCTCTATGGGTTATTTAATGCCGACAATATTTTTAGGATAGATTCGTATGAATAGAATATGTATTCTTTGGTTTAGATTGGTTTGGTTTATTTTGTTTTACGCATATCAACCTCAATGGGTTATTTAATGCTGATAAAAAAAATTATTCCTGGTAATATTTTGTTTTGTCAAAAATCTCTTTCTTGTAATATATTTCCTTCAAAATGCTATTGATGGTAATACTTTTTCTCAAAAAAGTATTGCTGGTAATAGTTAACTATTTTCCCATAGCTGGGACACTAACAGGTGATGCTAACCCGGGTCAGGGTGGACCTGGGGACACCAGCAATTAAGAGTTTGTTCAAGGCTCCTCAAAATCTCCTGTGCAGAGGCCTTGCCGCTGGACGTAGTTTAACGTCTTACCCAGGACGCGGATGTAGTTTAACGTCTTGCCCAGGCCGAGCCTCAGTACTGGGAGGCTTTATATATATTAGCCATTTTTTTTAACTATACTAAGACTAATACAAGTGATATTCATCGATGTGAAAAGAAGGGTTAGTAAAGGAAAATATAGAGAGAAGGAGAAGAATGTAAAGGAAGATAGACAAAAAGGAAAAGAGAAGGAATATATTAGAAGTAGAGTAAAAAAAATAAGAAAGTAGAGAAGAGGAAAATTAAAAGAAAAGTCAATAAAAAAGAGAGGAGAAAATAAACAAGCAAAAGAGGGGAAAGGGTGGCGATTAACTTGAAAACAAAGAGACGCAGAATGGAAAACGAAGGAAAAGAAGAAAGATTAAAGAAATAAAGAGAAGAGAAAAAAGAAGAAATGTCAAGAATGAGTGTAAAGCATAAACAAAGAGAAGAGGGAGAAAAAGAGTACAATATATGAGGAGATGTCAAGAAGAAGATGAAAAAGAAGGACTATTGTCCTCATCTTTGTCGGCATATTTATTACAATAGGCCGCCCCATTAAGGTAAGGCTTCAAGAACACCAGTAAGCTGTATCACGAGGGCAAATGGAAAACTCAGGCGTGGCAGACCACATATGGAGAGAGAAGAGAGTTCACCGCTCTCTGTGGGATCAGGTTGAGATCATAAACAAGGAACACCATTGGAAAATTCGTAAACAAGGAATCAGTACATATGCTATGGCACAAAAATCACCTGAGTCGACCAAGCATAGAAATGAATACAATATGGGACCCAGTAATAAGAAGTGCCAGAGAAAAGAGATAACAACAACAAATTGCAATATGACCTCTGGTAAAAAAATGCAATGATAACAGCAAAAATTGCAATATGAGCACAGATAAAAAATGGTTGCTGAAGACATTAGGTTTATAATACCCCAAAATTCATAAACAGATGTCCTCAAGGACACATGGCACAGTGGATAAAGGCGTTAGTTAGATCCAGTGATAAAATCCAATGAGTGTAAGTTCAATACCCAATTAAGGCAGTGGAGATCTTGGAGAGGGGTAATAACAGGAGTGTGACACTATTTAGGGTTGCGTGAAAAGAAAAAAAGGGGCGAGAATTAATTTAGGTGATAAGAAGCTATCACGAAAAGACACTGAGCGATGTTATTTTTTCTAACAAAGAAAATTGGTAAAGATTTTATTTTCATTAGCGAAGAAAGTAAGATACCGCATTTAATTTGATTTATGTTACGACGAGGCGAAAGAAGATAGCAATCTGCCCATGGCAATAATGAAAATTTCAGGTTGGTCAAGTGGCCTACGAAACAGAAACTGGGAGATAATGATAATCAGGTCAAGCGCTCTGACCGAGAAAAATGTCCGCTGGACCACCCACAAGTTAGAAAGAAAGAAAGATTAAACCATTAACTATCGTCGGAGATAACATTGGTTTGAAAGAAAATCACCTGTTTTATTGTCCAAACCTGGACATGATAAAAATGATTTCATCAGAACAGATAATTAGCGAAAATCTCGTTGACGAACTCCTGATGAAATTCGGTTAAGATAGAGATTAGAGATCATCCTAAGAGTCGTGTGAGGTCTCCTCGAAGAAAAGAAAGAAAAGAAAAAAAAAGGGAAGATAATTTTTTCTTCCTTTGAGTGATAATTGCAAACGCCCACGCTGTTGAGCGTTCATTGGCTGAAGGGTAGCGTGAGCGGTAGGCGAAGGTAAACTATGAAGAAGGAGGGGAGGCCTGTTGACGCCCCCTGAAGGGATTGGCGTGAGTTACCAATATGAGAAAGGAAGAATTTGGGAGGACGATTCCCTTAAACTAGAAATTAAGGACTTCCAAAAATGGAAAGTAATTTTTCCTGACCGAAACCAAAGAAAACCCTTAATGCGGATGTAGAATTATCAAGGAACCTCAAACCCCGACAAGCCCATCGCGGTTTTGGTCGGCGTCCATATAAGCAGAGTCGCAGCGAGTGGACGGCAGTTGGGGTTGAAGAGACAGGCAGGCAGTTGCAGTTGAGCTGTGAGATTTGAGATCCGCCTCGCAGGAAGCTGACTGAAAGATCCACGCATTCTCGACGTCAACTTCTAACCAAGAACAATTTATTTTTGAAGAACGACTTAGACTCACACCACCAAAACAAGTTTTACGAATCTCACCTGAAGATAAACCAAAAACCAGTTATCGAAAAACAACTTAAGATGTTAAGACTCGCCTAACAAACGCAAAGTGTCACGTAACCATATTAGCGGTTTGGGAGAAAGATGCAGTCCTGTATGCAACCAGATATAAAATATTGTTATCCTTTTTTAACACATTTGAACTTTTCGAGTTGTTACTTTATTTTCTTTTACATATACTTGGGCGGTATTACCCTTGTCCGGACTCGACTTGCATTACGTCCCGGCGACTGATTGATTTCGTCTACCTAAGATCAAATCAAAACGTGGGTAGGTTAGACTAGAAATCAAAAAAGTTACTTCGGTAACCAGACGTTGGAGGCGAGCTGGGAGGGATAAGGCTGATACCGAATCTAACCAGATTCCCATCCGAATCAGCAAAAGGTAGAACGTCACATTTGATGCCGCGAACAATACCAAGTCACATTGGTCGTCGCAGGACAGGACGGGGCGCGGAGACAGACGGGGTGACGTCACAATTGGTGCCGTGACCAGGATAGCAAGGCGGGCGCGGCCAGGCAGACGTCACGATTGGCGCAGTGACCCCGGGATGACGTCACAGGAGATAACTGACAACTTAAATGCATTAAAACATGACACGTGGAACTAGAACAGTCTAACCCGGTGAGCGAAATAAAGGGTTCTGTTCGACATTCCAACCACCTGAAGAAGCTCGTTGTAATGATTATGGCAACATATGTAAAGAAAATAGTTCGAATAATGTAAATACAAAAAAAACAGGGACTTTAAAAATATCTATGCAGGTATACAAATATTAATATGAACTTATAATCAAGACAATACATTTTGTGTGCATGTTTTGTTTTTTATTACGGTATACCTACGTGCGTATACTCCTTTATTGATTACTTGTTGACACTGGATCAATTAGATCGGATGTACGATATAGCGTAATGATTTTCAGCTGAAATTTGTAAACCGGATTTTGATTGGAAAAGGCATCCTATAACATTTAGGAGAGATCATTAATTTATTGCACAAAATTACTGTAAATGCAATGTATGGTTTAAAATACTCAACATGAATGAAACGAAACTAAATTACAGTTGCACTGATGATAACCTATATATGACTGGATTATGAATATGACTAATAATATGAGCCCGTCTTATGAAGTGAAAATTCTTTACTGAGAATATAATTAACCAAGCCAGTGTGAGAGCTGACGGTGTGAACATATAGTACATATAGGATGCACAGAACGGCCGTGAACAGTAGAAAAAAAAAACAGCTTTTTCTCCGAAGATTTACTGGGCCAATGTAGCGTTTTAAACCTCGTCATTTTAATATATATATATATATATATATATATATATATATATATATATATATATATATATATATATATAAATGAACATTGAAATCAACACTCAGAGGAGACAGTCTGTTTCATATTAGACGCAATATTGCTTCTAGCATGAAACAGACTGTCGCCTCTGAGTGTTGACTTCAATGTTCACTTTTATATTTATATTTACATTCACTCTATCTCTGATATTGAGGACTTTATCCCATAAATATAGCACACCTTAAAACTATATTTCTTCATATATATATATATATATATATATATATATATATAGAGAGAGAGAGAGAGAGACAGAGAGAGACAGAGACAGAGACAGAGAGAGACAGAGACAGAGAGAAAAAGAGAGAAGGCACGGTGGAGTAGTGGATAGCGGCTTGGATTGAGGAATCGGAGAGCCGAGTTCGAATTCCACTCGAATCTATTACATTCACTTACATGCTAATATCCCTGAGTATGAATCCTCTTCTCCCTCCAGGTATGGGTAAATAGCGGGATATACTTGGTTCTATAGCCTTGGATGGCAACTGGTCTAGGAGAAGGCCAACTCTGAATTCAAGACCTGGAGTCGTTTGAGGACCTTGTGTCACGTAGTATTCAGTCCTTCACAAAGTGTGGTTGGTTCTGCACAAAGCCTTCACCACTATAATCAAATCTCATGTGCTGGTGTCGCGCTGTCAGTTTCTTGGAACTGAAATACTTGACCATCATACGTTGAATACGACGGGAGAGTCCCATATATATATATATATATATATATATATATATATATATATATATATATATATACCGAACGTATCAAAAGAATGGAATGAAGCAGTTTTAGAAAGAGGAATTTAATTTCACTAAACAATCGGATGAAAAAGGTGTAAGTCATGTGCGAGGCGGAAGAAATATTACGCTCATTACACAAAACTATCGAATTTTATATTACATCACAAGGGTAGATTAAATCGATTGAAAGCGAATATTAAAAGGAAATACCAACGCGTGTATAGTTGGTTTAAGGATGTGTGGTTTGTGTCAGGAGAAGAGATTGAAAATTATTAACTTATATTAAATTCTGAATAAAATTTTAAGTCTCTTCACCTCTGAGCAAATTGGTCATCATTCACAGCCATATAAGAGATTACATATTACATAATAGTTCATCACTCTTTTCTTTGTTTATAACATTTTCATATCTCTTAATACTTTGCTTAGTTTCTGAAAGGCAATTTCTGTGTTACATATTCAGCCATCTGTTACGATACTGCCCAAGTCAGATTAGCAAACAGATGATTCTTTTCTGTTGCGAATGCAAAATTCAAAAAAATCCTATCCTTTCTATTGAAATGCTTTTTCTTTCATTAATTGAATTTTTCTACTGACAAGACGTGGAACAATTATATTGACTTAACTGCCGAAATAAAACTTGCTTGAATCCATCGTGATAGACTAATTTTCTACACAGAACCTTACACCATTATAAATCTATAATTCGTCCATGCATCGAATATTCCTGCCTTGTCTGGTGCTTCTGCTATGAATCTTGACAAAATCGATAGAATAATCTGCAATGTTAATGGCCTTAGCATGGCATCTACGCTTCAGTAACTTTTCTGCAAATTAGTTTTTCTCTCTCTTTTCTATAAATATTTTCATTATTTACATTGCTCGGATTATCCTCCTCATCTTTGTTGCCATAACGTTTCGGCCGCTGTACGCTCCGGCCTTCTTCAGGTGGTTGGAATGTCGAACCCTTTATTTCGCTCACTGGTTTAGACCGTTCCAGATCCACGTGCCATTTATTGAATTCACACTCTTTGGGTCCTGTCACTGGATCTAACTAACGCCTTTATCTACTGCACCATGTGTCCTTGAGGACATCTGTGTATGAATTTCAGTGTATTATAAACCTAATGTCTTCAGCAACCGTTTTATAGCAGTACTAATATGGCAATTTTTGCTGTTATTATTTATTTTTTTTTACCAGAGCTCATATTACAATTTTCGTTGTTATTTCTTTTCTCTGGCACTCCTTATTACTGGTTCCCATATTGTATTCATTTCTATGCTTGGTCGGCTCAGGATATAGTTGTGGCCTAGCATATGTGCTGATTCATTAAGTTTACGAATTTCAAATGATGTTCTTTGTTTATGATTTCAATCAGATTCCATAGAAGGCAGTGATTTCTCTTTTCTCTCCATATGTCGTCAGCCACGACTGATTTTTCCACTTCCCCTCGTGTTACAGATTTTTGGTGTTCTTGAAGCCTTACTTTAAGGAGGCAGCCTGTCTCTCTTTTATATTTTTCCACAGCTGCACGGGATGGCATACACACAATCTTTAGTCATGTTCTCCTCTATGGAGGTGGTGGGGGGGTCTTACTCAGGAAAGTGTCGCCTAGCTTTTGAAGGTTGTCATGATGTTATATGGACCGCAGATCTTTTGTATTTTTTCCGATAACCCCTTCACATTAGGCAGGCAGACTGTTTTCTGAGTGTTTTTGTCCCTCTTGTACCCGCCAATCCCAGTTTATTGGTTGTGCTGCCATGTACCCAGGGTAGTTGTTACGTTGTAGGGTACTGTTTATAATGACCAATTCTTTATCTAATATCTCTGGGTCGCCTCTGATGATTTTTTTCTCGCTGTTGTAAGCTGTTGTTTCTTTATGCTCTATGTATAGTGGGACTTGAAAATGAGGTACTGTCCGGTGAATGTAGGTTTGTGGTAAATATGCACTAAACATTTTTCACTTTTTTGCTAGTTTGAACCTTTGTCATAACGAAAATTAAGTCTATTCTTATTTTTCTATGTGCTGTGTCTCTTCAGGGCTTGGATGGCCATGGTTACTCACAATGACGCAAACAGTTTCAAACGAGAGATTTGTAAATAAAGTGCTTACTTTTCATAATATTGTGAAAGTCAACTATCAGTTTAACACGGTATCGATGTTTTAAAAAGGGGAACATCCTAAAATATAATTATTTTTCGATTCAGGAAAGTGTTTTAACCCAAAGAATGTGTACAGAATGCTACCTTACAAAAATTATCCACCGAAAATTTTTCTGTATTTTTACGAATAGACCAGTTTATAGTTACTTAGCCTGATACCATATTCAGTTAAAGCTCATTAAATATTATATGGCATGTATTAATTGCGATCTTGTACCCGACTAGGCTTAGCTGATTAAATAAGAAAGATTAATCAGTGTGGTATACCTGGGTGTATGACAGAGAGAGTGCAGGGTCTAGTTTTATAAAACAGCTTCCACTTGATGTGTACGCACCAGTATGCGTTCTTGATAGACAAGGCCATTTTTCCTAACTTTTTAAACCTTCGTCGCATAGGTGAATGTAGGATGAGTTTTGTTCTTCAAGAATATAGATAATAAAACAGTTACTACATTTCTGTAAATATTCCTTTTTAAAATATTTTACCTGCCTTTCACTCGCAGTGATTCTGTACTTAACTTAATAAATAAATAAAAAATATTTCACTCCTGAGTCTTGGATTTTCGAAACCGATTTTTATTGAATATTTTAATACTTTAGAAAAGAAATACACCGAAAACAAAACACTTTTTCTTCCGAAATTTGTTAGATTGCATCTTTTAATGTTTGAATTTTTTTTTTTTAAATATCCTTAATTGTCCTTTTACTTTTATCTCCGTCCATGTTATTTTAGCTTTTATTTTTCAAACTTTTCATTAAATCGTTTTCGAACTCCTGATATCCTAAGGAATATTCGAAAGGCTTTTTGAAGATCAAACTTTAATTTTGTTATGAGAAAATTCAATAAATATCGTTCTAAGTAAAAGAAAGAGAAATAAAAAAATTAAATAGAAAACAGAATTAAACACAAACGTTGACATTTTCAGCGTTTATTTAATTACTAGTGGCTGGATACCTCTTTTGGAATTCTCCCGAAGCAAATTTCCCTCCAGTAATTACAGACTTGATCTTCTGGTTGCTCTGAAGATTTCAGGGTCAATGTAGCGTTTTGAACCTCGTCATTGTAGGATATATATATATATATATATATATATATATATATATATATATATATGACATATCAAAAGAATGGAATGGAGCCGTTTTAGGAACAGGAATTTAATTTCACTAAACAATGGGATGAAAAAGGGTGTAAGGCGTGTTCGTGATGGGAGTGGGAGGACTGAACATCAAAATGGTAAGAAGCGTATGAAAATAGATAGTGAGAGAATTGCGAGTCGTAGAAAAACAATTTCCTTTTGAAGAAATAGAAGAAGATTAAAGATTTGGAAAGATAGTGTTCCGCCGAGGGTAGTTGGGGGTGACATTTTTATGTTAATTTACTCTGAAGATAACTTTCTCTTCATTTGTTGTTCTTTTAGTTTTTTTTCTCTCCTTCTTTGTCTCTTTCTGGAATTCTTTTCTTTAGTTTGATTTCTTTTATTTCAAAATTTATTACTTCATTTTGGCTTTGAAAAAAAAAATTCTGTCAGTTCAAATGGGATCTTTCTTTAATTCGTTCGTTCTTTCTTTCTTTTTTTCTTTCTTTCTTTCTTTCTTTCTTTCTTTCTTTATTTATTTATTTGTTTATTTTCCAAACACTTAGCAAAAGATACAATCCGAATATATATCCTTATATATTGTGTTCCTTCCGGGAGTCGGCACTCATTCCTCTCCACATCTTTCTATCTTTTGACCCAATACTTTCGCAATTTTCTATTTAATATCGTTATAAATATTTATTAATGTCGTTACACACACACACACGGACATCCATATATATATATATATATATATATATATATATATATATATATATACAGTATAAAAATATATGTATTTGGAAAAGTTTTCTTCAGGAATTCATCTTCTAAAATTCATCGGACTATATATATATATATATATATATATATATATATATATATATATATATATGTGTGTGTGTGTGTGTGTGTGTGTGTGTGTGTGTGTGTGTCTGTCTATATTTCTGAGATAAGGTATTAAATACCCCATTTATATTATTAAAACTATTTTCCTCATCATTATCTTCATATTTATTACAAAGTTTCGGCCGTTGTACGCTCCGGCCTTCCTCAGGAGGTTGGAATGTCGAACTGAACCTTTTAATTTACAAGTCTATTAATTTATTTCCCAGAATAAACTTGATTAGACTGGGACGGGACCGGTTGTTTTTAGCTATTAAATTTACACTGATATGCCTTTTAAATTACGTTATTAATTTTCTACAACAAAACTTGTTTATATATATACTCTCTCTCTCTCTCTCTCTCTCTCACACACACACACACACACACATATATATATATATATATACTCATTTTTTCGAAAATTATAACATAAAATGTTATAAAATCACTACAAAAAATAGCCATTTTGTTTCAAAACTTCTGGTGTCTTATCATCTGATGGTTTTGATTGTAGAATAAAGGGTTTTTATTCTACATTCAATACCATCACTTGATAAGACACCAGAAGTGTTGAAACAAAATGTCTACTTTTGTAGTGATTTTATAACATTTTTATGTCATAATTTTCGAATAAATGATTATATTTTCTCTACTCTGTATTGAGCACTCTTTTAAGAATAGTATTTGTTGGTTATTGGAATTTATTCCGTATACATCAATCCTATAGTTGGGTATATATATATATATATATATATATATATATATATATATATATATATATATGATGACAATGTGTCTTTGAATTATGCTATATTTAATGAATTAGTTTGCTCAGTATAGGAGATAGATCATATGTTAATATAAACTATGCTCTATCCCTGATAAAGATCTTTTTAATTCATAAATATAGCATACGTTAAAACTATATTTTTACCATATTTAGCTACTGATAAGTAATAGAGCACTTTTTATACATTCATGATCTATCATGGACATAGAAAATTTAGCCTCAACTACTCCCTAAAAAAAATACCTGTCTCATCATCATCCATCACTATCTTGAATTAATATAAAATAAATAAAAATAATTAGACGGAAATTTTGTAAACCAAGAACTTAACATAAATACAACCCTCAAGCAAAAATACGGGTTAAATAAAAAAAAAATAAAATTGGCTCTCACAACACAAGGCAACTTCAAGAAAGATTTGATTTTCTTAGAAACATCAAACTTCATAAAAAATTAGATGCTTTGCAGAAAAAAAATATTAAAAGATGATATAATCAAAAGAAGCATTTTACTTAATTATCGCAGCGGACAAAGTTAGAAATTTATACGAATTAATCTCCCGAAAAGACAACAAATTTCTCAATGACAACATAATTAAAACATACAGAAAGCACCAACATCAACGGAATATGATATTAATATGGAAATTAAAACAATCACCGAAAGATTATGCCTAGACGACCGAATAAATTCCATCAAAAATTGCATCGCTAAATCCCAAGTATTTGTCACACTAAAAGACCACAAATGAAATTTAAGAACACAGCCAATACGCAGCCTAATAAACCGAACCAAAAGTGAACAAAGTAAAATAAGTTAAATAATACTAGAAAGAATTAATTCAAAACAAAGGAACATTGAAAAAGAAAAAAAAATACACTATACTCTGGTACCGCAACCTAAAATGCAAATACAATTGTTAAATTGTACAACGAGATATAAAAGATTTCTACCTTTCTATAACCGAACCCATGATAGGCAAGGCCATCTTCTGAGCTCAAGAAGAAATACAAATAAACACAAACGAAATAAAAATCATTAAACAATTCCAAAACTCATGATTATTTTAGAACGAAGAATCGTGGATAAAGAAAGAAGGGAACTTTGACATTACAATGAGAAGCTTTGATGGAGCACATCCTATGAGCTCATAGGTATATATTTGCTACACGAACAAAGTAAAATAATTGATAACAATTATATAGCCCCATACAGGGACAGCCGTTTAATAATATATCTTGTGCCCTACGAGTTGGGTAACCAACGAAACTTAAGTCGCACACCAAACGTAGATATATGTGTATTTATTAATATTTATATATAACCTCCGTAACGTATCTTCTTTTTGCTTTTCCTATAAATATTTTTACAGTAATTGTTCTGATGAGCTCTTCTCGTTGGTATCTCGACTTCAGGTATTCATGCTCTATATTATTTACGTCTCATAATTTCAGTATTGATATTTTTTAGTTGTAAGCGTAACTTCTAGGTTCGTTGCATTCCGCTTAACGACTATCTTCAAACTTTCCCATTAACATCTTGCACCTTATTGTTTTTTTTTTATTGCATTGCCCAGAACATTTTTATTGCTGGTAATAATTTTTTCAAAAATGTATTGAGACAAATACATTTTTTTCAAAACTGTATTGCTGGTAACTTTTTTCCTTAAAAACTGTATTGTTAGCAATATTTTTTCTTAAAAAATTTATTGCTGGTAATATTTTTTCCTTCAAAAATGAATTGCTGGTAATATTTTTTCCCTTAAAAATGTATTGCTGGTAATATTTTTTTCCTTCAAAAATGTATTGCTGGTAATATTTTTTCCTTCAAAAATGTATTGCTGGTAACATTTTTTCCTTCAAAAATGAATTGCTGCTAATATATTCAAAAATCTTCAAAAATCTACTGCTGGTAATATGTTTGCTTCAAAAATCTATTGCTGGTAATATTTCATCTTCAAAGTTGTATTGCTAGTAATATTTTTTCCTTTAGAAAGGTATTGCTGGCAATATTTTTTCCCTTAAAATGTATTGATGGTAATATTTTATCTTCAAAGCTGTATTGCTGGTGATATTTTTTTCTTCAAAATTGTTTTACTAGTAACATTTTTCCTTCAAAAATATATTACTGGTAATGATGTATTTCTGGTAATCATTTTTCTTTAAAAATTTATTGGTTGTAATAATTTTTACAAAATGTGTTGCTGGTATTAAAACCATTTCTTACACTTTCATAGTGTTTTGATCCCAGCTTCGGGGAGGGTTAACTATTTGTTCATAGTTGGGACGCTAAAAGGTGGTGGCACTCCGGATTAGGGTGAACCTGGGAACACCAGCAGTTAAGAGAAAACCTCATCATCAGAGGCCTTGCTCTTGGGTGTAGTTTACCAGGATGACATTTCCTTGTTCTGGCACACAGACTTTGAATCAATGGAAATAGGGTGAACACTAACTGGCCATTTCTAAAATTCCAAAATATTTTAGTACGAGATATGGACAGAGAAATGGGAACAATCTAACTCCGTCGAATAAAAAATGATTTAGTTAAACATTCCCTGGGGTTTACCGGGATATACAGAGACTTGAGGAAGGCCATAAGTCACAACGT